GCACATGGATCATCGAACACAGAAAAACATGCACACACATGTTTAAGATTGTAAGTATTTTACCACAATTAAGAAAAAACCATACTAATAGTGGGTTTGGATGGTCTATGGTATTCCATATTTTGTAAAATGTGTCCATTAGATTCTTTACAGCAACTTACAAGGGAGCAGGCTGAATGAATTACTTCCCTTTGGGAGTAGAAGAGATTCCTTGTAGGAGTAGGGGTTTTGTAAACCGGCTCAACAGGAATGGAGGTGTTTTAAAGAGACATTTGTGCCCCTCCCTTTGGCTCTCAGACTATGGAAACAATGGTCCCCAAGAAATAGGAATTTCCCCTGGAATCTCACGCTGGGAGAAGGAGACTGAAGCCTGGTGCCAGGCAGAGGAGAAACTTTCTTTTGTTTTGGTTTTTGTTTTAAGAGACAGGGTTTCTCTGTGTAGCCCTGACTGTTCTGGAACTCTGTAGAACAGGCTGGCCTCAAACTCAGAGATTTGTCTGCCTCTGCTTCCCAAGTGCTGGGTCTAAAGGTACCTTCCCACTAAGACTTTTTGTTTTTGTTTTGTCAGAGGACAAACTTGGTTTCCAGGAAAGAGATCTCGCATGGTCTGAGAACTTATCAGAGTCAGTGAGGGGCTAGACTGCCCTTTGACGGTGACTGCTTAGCTATGCGCCCCTCTGGCCCTGTATTCCAACCTTGATGCAGCATCTGTGGTTATGAGCTTGGATGTGACCTCCTCTGGTCCTCATCCCCACCAGCTCTGGGGCTCAGACACCTGTGACCTACTTTTTGCACTACCATATCTTCATTTCTACACACCTGTCGTGCAAGACCCACGTGAGCTCTCTCTAACCGTCCACTCTCTTAACTTCGGAGACACAGTCAAGGACTAGAGTTTTCCCAGGAAACTTGCTCAATGACTTCATAGAAAATGGAGCTGGCACGTTAGCCTCCCTCAGCAATCTGATCAGAATTTTAATGACATGGTTGGGTAAATTCTGACAAATACATGCACCCTTGTATCCCACATCCTATCAAAATAGGGAGTATTTCTAGCAACCCAGAAAGTTTGCCACTCGACCCCAAAGCAACTGCTCTTTGGATTTTTTACTCTATAAGAAATCTTGGTTGTTTTTGAGAGGGTCAGGCAAGTGTGGGAGTGTGGGAGAGGTAGTTATTTGTTGAGCATTGTTCCTGAGCTATTGTTTCTCACCTAAGACCAGGGCCCTGGTGAATGGGAGGGGGGGTGCACAAAACCACAGAAAACAAAGAAATAACTTCCTCTTTTTCTCACATTTAGCTAAAACTTCCCTTTCCTTGGATAGTGGAGGCCAAGCTCTAGTTTGAGAGAGGATGAAGGAAGGCAGACATTTTAAAAGAAATGATACCCCATACCTATGTCCCCTGAATCCGTCTCAATTTCCATTCTTGCCTCTTTTCAGATCCTCATTATTAGGCTTCCTTAAGCATGTGTGCACTCTCCTCTGTTCCTACCTGTAAAACTTTTACATCTCTGTGATTCAATTAATAAATCCATGAGCTGGAAAATAAGGGTCCATGCTAGCCCTTGAGATGGTGATGACATTTGCACAGTACCCAGACCCTCCATGAGTTTACAGTTTAGTGGGAAAGACCAAAATACATGAAGCTAATATATACATACCCTAAATCAGGTCATCCTCTGGAGTCTCTTTCTTTTTTTAAAAAAAAAGAAGAAATAACAATTTTTTTTAGCATCTATTAGACATACTTTGTTTCATTGTGGCAATTTTATGTATGCATATAATGTGCTTTGATCATATTCTTCTCTCTCCCACTAGCCTTTTTTGTCTCTTACTTCCACTGACTGCTTCATTTTCCCAAATAGTAGGAGTTTCTTTCTTGGGATGCAACCAACTACTACTCACTGACAGCTCCAAATGCTGCAAGTCTTCTCCCTGGCCCTCTTCCTGTTTTTACCAACTCCTCCTCATCAGGAACCAACAACGTCTACTTCTGTGGTCTCCAGAGCTCTTATCAAATGCACCCAACCTCCATGTCTTCATTTCCACATTTCTTGATCTTTTCTTCCATCTTCTGCAGCATGACCTTCTAGCTACTGTGACAGCAGTCTCAAAGCCTGTGTCTTAGTTACTTTTCTATTGCTGTGAAGAGATACCATGATCAAGGCAACTTATAAAAGGATGCATTTAATTTGGGGTCCACAGTTCCAGAGGACAGTAGAGTTCATGATCACGGGGGGGGGGGTGGGGGGAGGATGGCAACAGGCATGTTAGTATGGTGCTGGAGCAGTAACTGAGAATTTACATGTTGGCACAACAACCATGAAGGGGAGAGGGAAAGGGAGAGAGAGAGAGAGAGAGAGAGAGAGAGAGAGAGAGAGAGAGCGCACATTAACTGGGAATTGCTTGGGCTTTTGAAACTTTAAAGTCCACACACCTCCTCCAACAAGGCCATGCCTCTTAATCCTTCCCAAACAGTTCCATCAACTGGAGAACAAGCATCCAGACATACAATCATACCTGGGCCATTCTTATTCAGTCTGGCCCAGCTATTTCTCTGAGTTCCTAGGCTTATAGGACAGAACGCACAGAGTACTCAGCATTCCCAACCACCTAGCCCTGCCCACCTGCAGCTTTAGCCTGCTAAGGCAAGATTGAGAGACAAGCAGATAGAAACATTCGAAGAAGACTCTCCTTTTCCTGGGCTCTAATTTACCTTTCCTGCTGACAGAATTAAGGAACTGCAACACACACAATAAAGAGAAATTGCCTACAGAGATAATGTGTTTTCTTTAAAAAAAAAAAAAATCTCAAGGCTGATGTTAAAAACAGTAAATGAGCTAGTCTATTAATTTTATTTTGTTAATTTAAGCTAACAAGTTCATATACCTATTTAACTTTTAAACTTTAATTTAGATTTTGTGTAATCTTTAAACCCTGTATTTTACATCCTTAGAAAAGTTCAAACTTCTAAAAGCCACAAAATCATTCACATGGACATCTAAGTGTGACTCTCTGTGGAGGAGTCCACATTCATGGCTCTGGATTGTGCCTGCCCCTTTTTTATACAACTTGTTTTTTAAATACTTAGTAAATGTACTAACTTGACTTCACTATAGTTTATCCTGTAAAATATGTGGTATAGTCAAGATGGTGGCCATGCCTGAGTGGAGATCCATAATGCTCAAAGGAATGACTAGTAGCCACAGTGTTGGGCTGTGTCTCCCTGCTGCTACTAACCCCTCTATCCCAGCTCTCTGCTCCAGCCTGAGAGACTGCCCTGCTTGTCTACATCACTGACTCCTCCTGCCTGTAGTCACTGTTTAGGAGCCTCCCATTCAACACACCCACAAAATACACTGGTATCTCAGCTCTGTTATCTCGGCTGTACATTTCTCTGGTTACCTGTGCCCTCTCTCATTATCTGAAACTGAATACTCCTCCCCACAGGCCTGGGAGCTCCTCGAAGACTATTCATCTCTGAGACCTTAATGTCTTGAACAGAGGAAAAAAGCTCAGGTGTACTGGACTTTGTCCCAAATCTTGTACACTGTAGGAGAAAGACGTTACTATGGTATCCATCCACAGACAGGACAGTGAACAATTAAGAACCTGGCTCAACACGGCTGCTTGGAATAGCTGAGCTGAGGTTTGACGCTCAAGGATCAGGCTCATCTGCCCTTCCACTTACACGCCATTGTCGAATGAACATTTTATCTCCCCATTTCAGTATGTAGGTAACCAGAGTTTGCAACTCTCTCGGCAGCTTTCTCTACACCCGCCACCCACCACTCCCTCAGGAGTTCAGAGAAGCTTGGCATGTTTGACTTTTGTTTCTCACTTCTCTTCTCCTTTCTTACACCATGTCCTCTTGTTGTGTTCTGAACAACAGGGGTCCCTGACGGCACTGGGGCCTCAGAGTTCACATAACAACTCAAGAGCTAGATCATGTTTACATTCCACCTCACCCCACCCCCATCCCCTGGCTGTCCTAGAACTAACTTCACTAGATCAGACTGGCCTCAGACTCATAGAGATCCACCTGCCTCTCCCCCTTTCGTGCAGGTCTTAAAGGTGTGTGCCACCACCACCTGGCTTGTTTATATCTTAAAGATGAGGAATTGAATGGGGGACTGCAGGTTCAAAGGGGATTTGTTTGACGCAAGCTCCAAGGAGACTTAGAGACTTTGGGCAAGTCACTTAACCTCCCAGAGTCACAGCACACTCACACAACGAAGACAACAAATAATTGGAATTACCACACTGTGACCCGGTGAGATAACTTAGAATCCTGCCCAACACTCAGGAAGTGCTCAGTGATGTCAGTAATCAAAGGTCACAGTCCTCATCCATGAAAGCTACGCATAGTGTGTCTAATTGTACCGTACGAAATCCTCTCTGCATGTTTTGGAATCATAGTTGAGAGGAAGTTACCCCGCCTGGGTCCTTCTTTGCTTTTAGAATGAACTTTGAAAGAGAATACATTTTGAGGAAAATGCCAGGGATCTGTGGATATGTGTGTCTGGGGTTGTGTGACCCTGTACAGGAAAGACTGAAGTCTCTAACAAAATAGAAACAGTAAGATCGTCCTCCAAAACAGTATTGAGGATGCTTATATAGCCTTTACACACTCCATGACCTAAGACCTTACCATAATCAGATCATTTGAGAATCTTTTAGTGCAAGAGATGATTAGATGGGCATGAAAATCACAGGGCGTTAAAAGCAAGTATTAAAAGTAGAGGAAAGGTAAAAGGTTTATGCAAATCAGACACAGCAACAGCTTTCTTAAAAACCCCATAGCCTTTTCCCAGCAGCAGAAGACCGCCCCCTCCATCCAGAGCCCCGCCTCCCACCTAGTGACGCAACCTAGGCTCCACCTCTCTCAGGCACAGTGCCTGGGCAGTCTGGGTCACGTGAGCTTGAGTGCGGAAGTGAGGCTGCGGTACTCGTCCATGATTGGTCGTGGCGAGGGTCTTGTGGGCGGGGCCAGACGCCGGAGGTGCCGGGGGAGGAGGCTGCCTTGGGGGCCGGCTTGGAGTGGGATTCGACCCGCGGCGCTGACCGAGTGCTGGACCGACGGCTGTCGGGCACCCGGGTCTGCGCGCACTGCTGCTCCGGGTCGCCCCGGCCGAGGCGCTGGCCACGGTAGACCTCAGGGAGGGCTCGGGCTGCCGGGCCGGGCGCCATGTCCATGGAGGACCCCTTCTTTGTAGTGAAAGGGTGAGTGTGGGCCGAAGACTCCCGCCTCAGAGGGAGGGGAGGGAAATCGAGGCAGGGCGGCACAGCCTCTGTGCCCGGACACCGCGGTTCCCTCAGGGCTGGGCCCCTGGGGTCCCACTATCGGCCCGCACCGCCACTTCCTCGGGGTCGCGCGCCGCAGGTGGGGAGCGACGCGCCGGAGCCGGCGGACAGCATCTGGGCAGGAAAAGGGAAATGGCCCTCTTGGAGTGGGCGTGCGCGGGGGCGAGCTCCATTGTGGAGTCGTGGAGCTAGCTTGGGACGGCTTGCCCGGTGGCGTCCAGCGGGTGCGGGAGCCGAGTGCGGGAGGACGCGCGCTTTCCCGGGGGAGGAAAAGTCCTCCAGGCCCGGTGCTGATGTTGGAAGGAAAACAATATGCAATCAGCCAAACCAAACTTTCCGAGGCTTTCTGGGAGCCACCGGGATTTTCCCACCGTGTCGAAGGAAATGAGTGTTTCTGTTGAACTCCTTGGTTTCATCCTGGGTGTTTGACAGGTTTCCCTCACTTTACATTCTGCCTTTTTAGACGCCTACAGCCCTCTTTTTGCGACCAAACTGTCCTGACTCCATCTTTGTTTGTCTGTTGGGAGATGGAAACATCAATTGCACTTTGTTGTATCAACTTTGTAGCCATTACACAAATGCAAGAAAGCGCAATTATGATGTCGCAACTTATTTCTAATAACGTGTCAGTTTTATTCTCTCACATTCAAAATGTCAGAGAAATGTCAAAAATCTGAGAACTGCGAAGTTAAGACAAAGTTCTACTGGCTACACAGTATTCCTTGCTTTTAACTAGTCGCTACTTACATCTTATTTGTGTAGTGATAGAAGCTGACCAGTTGTGTGGGTGTTTTTTGTTGTTGTTGTTGTTTTTTGTTTTTTGTACTTAAGGGTCCTGGGAAACTTAAAATGTGTTTTAAATGAGATACTTTATTATCCATTCCATGGTGTGTACAGTCAATGTACAGTCAAATATATCATGACTGCTTCATTTATTTATTTATTTTGGCTTTTTGGACAGTGTTTCTCTGTGTAACCCTGGCTACTCTAGGCTGGCCTTGAACTCGCTGAGATCTGCCTGCCTCTGCTTCCCGAGTGCTGGGATTAAAGGCCACCTTGACTGAGACTGTCCACATTTCCATGAAAGGGTTTTTTCTTTCACCTTGCTATAATTTAGATGGGGAATAGGAAGGTGTATATTTAACAATAAAATTACCTACCCAGAAAGTGTGTTCTTTATTACAGGATTGATTAGATTTTAGTTATCTTTGTTTTTATATTTAGAGTTAGAGTTGTATACTTTTCCCTTGAATGGAAGGGTTTTCTTGGTTTTTGTCTTATTTTGTGTGAGGGTGAGTGAATGCTGGGGCATACATGTGGAGGTCAGAAGACAACTTTCAGGATTCCCTTCTCACCTTCCACTGTGTGGGTCTCGGATCTAACTCAAATGTCAAGCTTGGTGGCAGGCACCATTGTCTGCTGAGCCATCTCATGAGCCCCAGAATTGAAGTTTTTAACGTTCAAGTTGCAAAGGTTATCTCTGGTGGTGAGTAGATATCAGAGATACCTAGAAAATTTCTAAGTTTGCCTTTGAGGGAAAAATTTGGAAAGTTCTTTATTGCTCAGCCATATTGGTATCCCCCCACCCCCCAGCCTACCAGCATTTACTTACGGATTAGGTGTTACTACTGTGTTAGAACACTGTCCTAGGTCACTTATTGCAATAGAAAAGACAAGCCAGCCACGTCAGTGTTTCCACATGTGTGATAGCATATGCATGCACATCCTTTTATTAACAGTATTCAGGGCCACTGAGATATCTTGGTAGATAAGGGCTCCTTCAGCCAGGCCTGATGACCTGAATTTGATCCCCAGAACCCACATGCAGGAATTTACACACACACACACACACACACACACACACACACACACGCTAAAGTTTAGAAAACAAGATTTTCGAAAATGCATCACAATGTAGAAAAAGTAAAGATGTCTCAAATGTGACTCTGATACAGGTGCGTCTACTGTAATCAGTGGAATAAATCGCATCAGACGTAAGTAGAGATGGCAGGTGATCAGTACGTGGAGAAGTGCTTCCTACAGATGATGAGCGTCTCAGGTGTCAGAGGAAAGGCCGTGCCTTAGGAATTGTTAGGATGGGAAAGGCTATGGGAACCAGGTATGTTTTGAAGGCAGCAGAATTCAGACAATTTAGGCCTCGCTCTCCTGTCTAAGGACTTAGGAAAGAGATTTGCATTCATGTTCCTGCTTCCATTTTTATTTTTTCTGCCTTTTGATGTATTTGCTTAAAACTATCCAGCAGAAGTGGGAGGTGGTGACACAGGTCTTTAATCCCATCACTGAGAGGCAGAGGTAGGCAGATCTCTTGAGTTTGAGGCCAGCCTGGTCTACAGAATGAGTTCCAGGACATCCAGAGCTATATGGAGAAACTCTGTCTCAAAACCAACCAACCTCCACCCCCCAAACAAACAAACAAAAAACAAACAAAAAACAAACAAAAACAAACCAAAACTAAATGAAAACAACCAACCAAAAAAATGTGTTGAGCAGAAATATAATGCAAGTTCCATTTTCTTTTCTTTTCAGTCTTACTTTTTTTTGTTGTTTTTTTTTTGGTGGCCTACTCTACTGTATCCCAATCTGGCCTTGATCTTTTGATCCTGTCTCTGTCCTCTGATTGCTAGAATTATGAGCATGCATCATCATTTTATATTTTCTACCACTTACATTAAAAAGAAATGAAAATAATTTAATATCTTTGTTAGTTGATTCAAAAAATATTACTACTGCTGTGGGTTTTCCTTTTTGTTTGTTTGTTTTGTTTTTGAGATAGGGTCTTATTATTTAGAACTTGCTGGCTTGGTATTTTCAGTGTAGTCCAGGATGACCTTAAACTTAGCAGTCATTCCTCAGCCTCCTGAGTGTTGACTTTATAGGCGTGTACTTGGCTTCAACATGATTTGTATAAAGTCTTCAAAATTGTTATTTTTAACTACGATCTCATTTCAATTTGGATGTTAAAACTTTGAATATATTGTTCTATATTTAGAATTCATTAAACTTACAATTCAAAAGATATATTCAGAATTTGGGGTGATAGGGAACATTTGTAATACCAGCACCTGGAAGTCAGAGGCAGAAGGAACAGATGTTCAGAAGCTAGCTAGCATCATAATGAGTTTGAGGTTAGCCTGGGCTACATGAGATCCTATCTCAAAGAAGAAAGAAAAAGAAGAAAAAAAGGAAAGGAAGAAATTCATGTGCCCTAATTGCTCCAAACATGCATCACTTTTTTGGCAACCAAATTGCATATTAGTTTTTAAAATAATTAAATGCTAGTTACTCAGTGACTCTGCTTTCAAAGTCCTTAGTTGTACCTAAATAGTTAGATGTGAATTTAATATTGGCAGCACAGTATGGCCCTTCAAGGTCCAAGCAGGTGTAAGCAGGTATAGCCTACTTAGTGTCACTTAATGGCTACCTGCTGAAGAATCAAAATGCAAAATCAAAACACTCCTTGATTATGCTACTGCCAACCTAAATTTAGCCAAATTCAGAAAAAAGTCTGTTCTTAATTACCAAAAGTTACTTACGTTTTTTAATATATATGTCGTTACTTCCGCATTGCTATGACCAAATTACTAGAGAGAACAAGAGAGGAAAGGTTGGTTTCTGTCTTAGGGTTTCAGAAGGGTTCAATCCATGCTTGGGCAGAACATGGTGTCAGTGGGAGAGTGTGGAAGAGGGGAGGTGTCCATTCATGGCAGGCAGTAGCAGAGAAAGTGAGACAGGAAGGGTCAGGGACAGACTGATGGACAGACAGAAAGAAAACAAACACAGACACACAGACGCATACACATATACACAGAAAGAGAGTGACTTACTTCTTCCAGCTAGATTCTCTCTGCTAAAGTTTTGAGAACTCCCAAACAGCACCATCAGCTGTGGCCTCCTCAGGTGCCCCTTCAGACCCAAGCTACAGCATGCTGCTCCCACAGTGCCCTGTGCTAGTACTCACAGCACTGACCCTGCAGGCCAGGTCAGGTCAGGAGTGAGTGACTTGTCCTTACTTTCACTACACCTGACTCCAGACACTTGCTTTCTTGGAATGGCTCTTGTTCCTGTGACCTGTGCTTTCTAGTGTACACAGACTTTCTCTCTCCCCCACTTGATCCCATGTTCATTCCTCAGAGTCCTTTTACAACTTCTGGGTACTCACCAGCATTCACGGGTTCGGAGCACCTCTTTAAAGCTGATCAGTCTCCAACTGTATTTCCACCCCTAACCACTTATCCAGGGTTGCCCCCTTATCCAGGGTTACCCCTTCCTCATTGGCTGTCTCTAGAA